TTTTCAAAATAATGATATCTTTCACCTTTCAAAATGAAATCTAAATAAATGGAGTATTACATATAGCTTAATATTTTCTTAATCAGATTTTATATAAGACCTTAATTCTAAGTAGTGATCTAAATGTAACCATAAATTAGAAATAATGAGCAATCAATAAATAAAATATTTTTTTAAATAAATAGTAACTTGAAAGATAGTGTAATAATATGTAATAAAGTGAAAAAAAAAAAGATAAACTGGAGTTATGTAAAAAAAAAATACGTGTAATTTAATGTGTGACTGTGTGATAACAAATGTTTACTGTACTAATGAGAAAGAAGAAAGAGACAATAAAAATTACGTGTAATTCAATAAACAGAGTAAATAAAGAGAATAATGAATATTGTTTTTCTTTTTCCCATGTTCACAACTTCACCTACACAGAAGTAGGAAAGAAATAAAAACTAAGAAAGTACTAGTGGATTTGGTGCCCCTCAATTTAGTTGGGCCCTGGGCCGTAGCCCAGGTCGCCCTGGGCCAGGGCCGGCCCTGATAGGTTAAAAACTTCATCGTATAAATAAAGAGACCAAATTTAATTATTATTTATTATTATTATTATTATCTAATAGAAAATTGCTATCCATGTTGTAAGAAACAGGAAAAACGGTGCGGTCCATCTCAAAACCAATTGGTGAAAGGAGGAGTAACCTATTAGACTTATAAGGTGGGTCTATTTTTCATATATGAACAATGTGAGACAACTCACAAGTGATATTCTAATACATGTAATATATTTTTACCAAAACACTTGTTGATAGAACTCGCTAATAAAACAACTGAGAAATGCTATAGTCTCGTTACAAAATCATTCCGTTGTGATTTGTAACCGTTAGATCGTCATGTAACCGTCGTGGATAGTTGATCCAACGATCACAAACCCCAACGGAATAATTTCGTAACGAGACCGTAAAATCTTCCCAAAACAACTACTATGATCAATTGTTAATTTATCTGCAGACAACCACTAATCACCAAACAAAACGAGATAAAAAATAAAAAATAAATAAACATAATTTATAACTAGCTATAGAGATGATCTAAATATTATACAACTTGATTAGAAAACACTTTAATTATTCATGCTAAAAGTCTAAAACGTACTGCATAATTCTTTAAGTAGGACAATATATAGAAACCAAATCAAGCAAAATATTATGTTAATGCCAATTCAATTAAAACCTCCAAGTTGCATTAGACAAATCAATTAATTTGTGGAATCCCACGTTTTGCATGGCTATTAAGTAGTATTGTCCATGTATTGCTATCGGCATTTAGTTATTTATTTAAAGAAAAAAAAAAGATGAATATATCTCATTCAAAGTCTCCGCGTCTCTTTTACCACGTAAAATCCATATTAATAAGCCTTTGTGGTCCTACTCGACTCGATTCCAAATTAGTCGATTTCTCTGTGGATCCGGAAACTGGAAGGTCCCTGTACCAAAAAAAAAAAAAAAAAAAAATCCATATTAATAAATCTTTTTTCAATTGGTGGTTTTGCTTATAATGTAATTATACAAGTTCGATTAATTCAACTTTGGTCATTTTAATTTTACATTTAGTAGCTGGTGACTAGGGGTGTTCATCGTCTGATTCAGTCAACCTGAATCTTGCAAAACCAAAATAATCGAACGTTTCAATTACAATTGTTGGACCGACCGATTTTTTTGTCCAAAACAAAATTTAAATCGAGCTAATCTTTATAATTTTTGTGTATATTTATTATTTAGACCAGGGGCGGAGCCACCCTATGCTCCAGCCCCATGTAATTTTTTGCTAACGTTATTTTTGCTAGCCTTATTTTTTTAAAAAAAAATTATACATAAACCCATTAGCCCCATGTTATTTTTGTATGTAGCCCCATTTAATTTTGGGCTGAATGCCTCAAGAATATCTTCAGGTTAAAATTTTTTATCTGACAACAATGGTGAAAAAATGATGATTGTAGTGAGGAAAAAATACAATCCTTTATTGTCAAATGACAACTATGACCTTATTAGATTTTATCAATTGAGTTTATAATGTGACCCAACACATTCGTGCCTTTTATATTTTTAATCGGTTGACTTGATAAATATCAAATGAGTTGGATAATTAAGTTTGACACAAACTTCTCAAACGGGCTATTTAATTGTGTTCGTCTCGGTCCACAGTCCGTTATCTATTTTCATTTTTTTTTTTATTTCGCCTCCAATAATTAACTAGGCATCATTTCCTAGACAACGAGAAATCTTGTACAGAGTTGATTGCAAACATGTTCGACTCTATTTGTTTGATCGACAAATTTGATTAGCTATTTGAGTTTGGCTTGTTTAAATATAAAAGCGATTCGAGATTGAGTTTTTTCAATTGAAACAGACATATGTTAAATGATATTTTGTTTCTAATCATAACCAAAACTGATTACAGGTCGAAACCGTCGATATCGGGCCGAGAGTTGGAGGACCATGAATCGACGCGGACATATGTACGGGTTGGTTCATTGAACTGTCGGTTATTGGTCGACCGGTTCATTAAAAAAATAAAAAATAATTAAAATAATATCTTTTTTTAAAAAAAGGCCGAACCTCGGATTCCGGTTCCAATTCGGAACCGAAACTGCATGTTCAAAATGTATAAACTATAAGGTATTGTATATGAATCGAATTGGTCAAAACCACGGACCAGTTCAAGACCCATGGTCAACGGGCCAGTTTGTGTCGGTTCGGGCCGGACCGACAAGCTGGGTCGACACATGACCATGTCCAGAAGGTTCTAATAATAGCTACAATAATATGCATCCCCAGATTAAAAAATTTCCTGGCTACGCCCCTGATCTAGACTAAAAATATAATCATATATATATACACACACATATATATATGCATATTTTACATAGTTAGATCGATTTGGTTAAACCTACATATATTACATAGTTTGATCGATTTAGTTAAACTTACATCGAAAATTGAATGAGATAACAAAATTTTGGAAATTAAAAGCCGAAAATAGATTTTTGATAAAGACAAACGAACTAATTAAATAATATCAACGAATCATAAGAAAAAGGCTTGAGCTCACCGACATCAAATCAATAATAACCCTTGGCAATTAGAATAATGATTATGCGTAAATAACGTATTGTAAAATAAATGGACGTTTTTATTTCACCGTAGATTCAATGCAATAATTAAGAAGATACCAAGAATTTTTCACCAATATGAACCGCGTAATATACGCTCAAAAACCGGGGCCTACAAAGTGTGAAACTTAATCACAATAGAAATCAAATTCAAGTACAATTCTCATTTCAATTTTTAAATTTCAATTTTTAATTATACTCATACAAACGATATGAACTCGAACTCATAGTATTTGAGTTCTTAACGAACAAAGTCGAATCCGACTCTTTAATTAAATGAACTAATAATCGAGCTCGAATTCGACATGTTTATCAATATTAAGGAGCAGAGTTTAACTTTAATTTATACGAATCAAACTACATAAAATTATATAAAATTTCATATTTTTTAGGATTACCAAGTCGAGCCGAGCCCGGTTAGATAACTAAACAAACATTAAATGAGTTATAACTTACATATGAATCTTGAATTATTTATCAAACAAATTGAATCGAGCTCACAAAAATCGTTAGTAGGCTCGCCCCCAAAAAGAAAAACAATTGTTATTCTTATATTTTATTAAATAAATAAATTAAAAACTGTTTTTTTAATCGCAAAAAAAAAAAACGCAAAAGTCCCTCTTTAAATTCTCCGCCCCAAGCCTCCAAAATTCCCACAAAACCAACAAACTCGCTACTCGCAACACTCCATATTCAAACCACTATTTCATTCATTCATTCACTTAATGGGTCTCAAAATCTCGCCGGCGTCACCTGCCGGTAAATGGCTCGGCTTCGTCACTGCCGTATGGGTGCAAGCCATCTCCGGCAACAACTACACGTTCTCGAACTACTCCGACGCCCTCAAGTCCCTCATGGGCCTCACTCAGCTGCAGCTGAACAGCCTCTCCGTCGCCAAGGACGTCGGAAAAGCCTTCGGCCTCCTCGCTGGCCTAGCCTCCGACCGGCTCTCCACCCCCGCCATGCTCCTCATCGGCTCGATCGAAGGATTCATCGGCTACGGCGTCCAGTGGCTCGTCGTCAGCCGCCGGATCCAACCACTCCCTTACTGGGCGGTAAGCAAACTCAAAACACACACACACACACAAAAAAAAAATACTCCTAATTTCAATTGAATTCCCAAATCAAATCTCAAATCCCCAGATGAAAAGTTTGTCTTACTCTGTACTCTGTAATTGCAGATGAGCATTTTCCTGTGTATGGGTGGGAACAGCACGACGTGGATGAACACGGCCATCCTGGTCACGTGCATCCGCAATTTCCGAAAAAATCGGGGACCGGTCTCCGGAATCCTGAAAGGCTACGTAGGCCTGAGCACGGCCATCTTCACCGACGTCTGCTCCGCCCTGTTCGCGGACGACCCGGCGAAGTTCCTGATGATGCTAGCCGTTGTCCCCTTCGTCGTCTGCCTCTTCGCCGTCCTCTTCCTCCGCGAGGTCCCACCGGCGGCGGCGGAGGACTGCAGCGGCGGCGAGGATAGGTACTTCGGCGTAATCAACGTCCTGGCGGTGGTCATCGCGCTCTACCTGCTGGCCTTCGACGTCACGGGAGCGCACGGCCGGGTCTTTTCACAGATCTTCGCCGCCGTGCTCCTTGTCCTGCTCTCGTCGCCACTGTCGATCCCGATCTACCTGGTGGCTAGGGATTTGGTCCGCTCTGGGGAGAAATCCGACGACGTGGAGCGGAGCGCGGCAGAGCCGCTGCTGTCCTCGGCGCCGACGCTGGCGGAGAAGAAGGCGGAGGCGGAGGCGGTGGCGGCGGAGGAGGAGAGGAGGAGGCCGGTGGTGGGGGAGGAGCACACGATATTGGAGGCGCTGAGGACGGTGGATTTTTGGATCTTGTTCGGGTCGTTTTTGTGCGGGGTTGGAACGGGTCTTGCGGTTATGAACAATATGGGGCAAATGGGCCTCGCGCTCGGGTACGCTGACGTGTCAATTTTCGTATCGCTGACGAGTATATGGGGATTTTTCGGGCGGATCCTTTCCGGGTCGGTTTCGGAGTACTTCATCAAGTAAGTCAAAATTTTATCATCCGATTTAATTATGATTTATTTATTACTAGTACAACACCCGTGTATTACACGGGTGCTTGCTATTTTTTTTCTTATGAAAATTTAAATACCTTTTATAAGAATATATATATTATTATATATTTATTATGACACTTTTTATTTGTGCAATTTACTTGTGTTATATTATACTAATTTTTTTAACTTACAATATATAACTACATTACATATAAATATATCAATTGAAAAATAATTTTATTTTTCTAATGAATTTCAATAAATATTATTATTTTTTATTATTATAAATATAAATATAATTTATTTATTTTATATATATACAATATGGATGTCAAATCGAAGATCATCAAAAGATGATTAATTTGATATATTATATATGTAAAACCGATAAGAAATACAAAAGTTATCAATTTTTAAAATACATTTATAATTCAATAGCTTATTGAAGGAAACAAATCAAAATTCAGGGATATATTAGTCACTTAGTGCCTCACTATGTAAAATTACAAAGAATTAAAAGGTTATATTAGTAAAAGTGATATTAAAATACCTAAATTAGCTAAATAATATTTATGGAATACCCAAATCTAGATTATTAATTATTAATATATCAATATTATTTATCCAAACCTAATTACGAAGCATGATTCTTCGCCAAATAGGATTCCGAAGCACCAGAAGTAGCCACGTAGGCTCAACGCATTCTGAAATTATATATAGGGAGGATGTGTTTGTTAGAATTTTTTTTTTGTCCCACGCGTTGTACGGTCAATTGCTAACATATATCCACTAAATATATACTATATCATATTGGAATATCTCAAGAGAATATGCTTTACGAAATATAGTTAGTTGGTTCTACTTTATCAACTCTGAGCCTTTACGGTCTTTTGTACTGCTTTAAGATCTTTTCTGACGCGTGCAGAAAGAATATTAAAATGTTGTGATTTATTAAAATTGACACAAATTGATTCTAGTGCCTTGTGAAAAGAAAATAAAGCAAGTGAGACTTTTATAACTATCTAAAACGATTTTGCTATGAATCCAACGATTAACTTTATAGTGGAGTTAATTGTCGGCTTTATAGTAAAACCGTTATCAAAAAATTATTCAGTTAGTATAATATAATATGGTATATTCTCCAGTGAAATTAGGAAAATAAAAAAAATAACTTTAATAATTGACAGTATAATAGATAGGAAAATCTGACATGTCATATTTTTAATAAATAAATTAACAAATTAGAGCAATGAAATTTCTTACTATTATTTTATATTGTTTTTTTAAAAAACAAAGTTGTGCCTGTGTGATTTCTGCATTTGTTGCGCATTGATTTTAAATATCTACCTCTCAATTATGATACATAAAGTGCACTTTAAATGTATAAATTATAGGCAAATGCTACAGTCCCATTACGGAACCATTTCGTCGGGATTTGTAATCGCTAAATCAACTAATAGCCGTCGTGGATAATTGATCTAACGGTTACAAATCCAGATTTATGCATTGGAGTTTGGACCGGGAGTGTAACAGTCGAATCATACGTTCGTATGCCAGTACGGTTAAGTGTGAATAGGTGAAGTTTCTTAAAATCGTTTTTTTTTTTTTTGAATATCGACTTTTCGTGGGACTTAAAAGCTGCTAATAATTCTCGGAGTTGAAAAATTGTCGCATTATATAAGATGAGCGTTTATCGTAAATACAAAAATTACTAAATTATAATTAAAAATTGTTACTAATTGTTTGATTAGAGTTGTTAAACGAAGCAAGTACTTAGTGCACTCGATTTGTTAAGGCTCGAGTTCGTTGAAAGCTTGTTCATTTAACGAGTTAGGTTCGACTTGACTTTTTAATTATGGAAATAATTTTTGTTATATAATTTTCTTAACTTCGGCTTGTTCCTATTGACAAATGAGTTGATTTCATACTCAATTGCTCGATTACTGATTCTTTTAGTTAATGAGTTGAAACACGACTCAATTCGTTAAGGCTCGAGCTTGATCACCATGAGCTCGAACTTAACTCAAGTTAAAGTTTTTACCAATGTCTATCCCTACAATATGGTGGTCCGTGATAGCTTCCGTTTTACTCATGGACCACCTTTATTTAGGCTTATTCTGAATCGGTCCTTATCGACCACCATTAATTACTTTTTCTTTGGACACTTGAAATCTCACTTTACAATGTCCACAACATTTGCACCCACCCAACAGCACTATAGCCCAATCTCTTAAATGCCCAATTGTCATATTTGTTGTCAAAATTGTGTTGACGTTGACATCAGACATTTTCAAAAATCTCGACTTTAAAGGCGAATAATTCGAGCTAACCCAAAAAAACCTCGTTCAAATTTCGCAGGAGGTCCGGTACACCGAGGCCCGTCTGGAATGCGGCCTCGCAAATCCTCATGGCCATCGGGTACATTATTATGGCCATGGCCTTGCCGGGCTCACTCTACGTGGGCTCCATAGTTGTCGGCATTTGCTACGGTGTTCGGTTAGCGGTGACGGTCCCCACGGCCTCCGAGCTATTCGGGCTCAAATACTATGGCCTCATCTACAATATCCTCATCCTCAACCTCCCGTTGGGCTCGTTCTTGTTCTCGGGCCTGTTAGCGGGCTTTCTCTACGATGCGCAGGCCACGCGCACGGACTCGGGTGGGAACACGTGTGTTGGGGCCCATTGCTATCGGCTCGTTTTTGTGGTGATGGCGATTGCATGTGTCGTTGGGTTTGGGCTCGACGTTGTGCTGTCGATTAGGACACAGGGTCTTTATAAGAAGATCTATGTAGGTAGAAAGAAGGCGAAGAAGTTAACGTCGGGCGCCGGTGGGCAATAGTGAAAGTGTTTGGAATGCTGGGGGACTGATGGGAAATTTTGGTCCAGTGATGTCCTTTTATGTAATTTTTTTTTTTCTTCCTCGGAGTTGTGATAAATGATATATGATTATGGTTGTTAGTAAAAAAATTTATAAATTATTGTAGAGATTATTATTGCTTGTATGGATTTTGAATCAGTGTACTATTTCCGCAATTCTGTATAGTTTATATGAGAAATAAAATTTGGAATAACACCTCATTTATCTTGAGGAGGAAAATGCAATTCTGTATAGTTTATATGAGAAATAAAATTTGGAATAACACCTCATTTATCTTGAGGAGGAAAATGCATCTCTGTTTTT